TCACTGTTAGAGAGTCGAGGGGACGTGTGTGGGAGATTTGAACTTACGGTTGGGATGGTGGTAACGTTGAGGTTGCCGAGAGCATATCCGGTGCGCAGGCAGGGTGTGTTGTAGGGGTCTCCCGGGATCTAAAACAGTGAGATGCACGGGGTGGTGAGTGGATTCACGAGGGACGTACTACATGCGTGTTAATATCATAGGTGATTTGTTCGGGATGTGTCTAGTATGGCAAGCATTTAGGCCGGAGTCAAGACAGACAAGAGAAATAGTCGGCGTACATTGGGCTGTTCAGTGCCATATGTTGCGAGCTGTGAATAGACTGTTAGTTCCAACCAAGAAGACAACAATACTTGTGGACATACGTGTAATTCGAATCCCAGCTGTAGCCCGGGTTGACTGCCATCGAGACGAATCAGCACAGGTTCGCGTGGAAGCGACGGCCGGCGATCTTCTGGGCGCGCGAGCGGTGTAATTTGGACGAGCTGCTGGAACTTTTGGAAATTTCGCCATTAGGCATAACGAGATAGCTTGAGTAAGAACACTCACAGGTCTACGTCCCTGAGTTCTTCGAGGAGTGCTAGGCGAGGACATTTTTATTACTGATTATAAAAGCAGACAAATCAAACAGGGAAAGCGTAGTGAGAATCCTCGACATGAAACGGCTTCTCAGTTTATATGGGCATGACGAATGGGTGGGCCACTCTGGCTAGTTTGGATGCCACTCTAGAACAAAGACAAGAATGAGGACAGTGAACGAAGAGGGAAACAAGTAGTGGAACAATGTTACCAAATCATTGTTACTTATTACTCTTGTCTGCGCCACTCGTCTCTATGAATCTGATAAGCCACAATGAAGCAGATGTAAGAAGGAGATTCCTACCTGGGAATACGTGTGAAAGGCTATGTATTGGACACGGTGGCACGGTGAGAGTCTGAAATTGCCAGCTCACAGGACCGTTGGTGCATCCATCCGGGTAGTAGATAGCCATGAGTCGTCGTAGGGCTCTTTCATATAGATATTGACCTTTAAGAGTACGAGCAATTGGTAAGTCTGAACAGTAGTTTCCTGTCAAAGGTTTGTAAAGAAAGGAGGGAAAGCTATCGACGATACCAGCCGGCCAACGAATCCTAGCTTCAGACAATGAGTTCCGTTATTGCCACGATTGTCAATGAGATTGTAGAACAAGTGAAGCCAAGCATAAAGCAGCGTAGAAGAAGTGCCCTTTGTTAGTCTGATCAAAGTCAGTCCGGAATGAGAAAAGCGAACTGACAAAAGCCAACCATCAGAGGGCTTGTAGCTGTGGTCAAACATTAACCTATGCAAAGAAACGCAGGTGTTGGCAAACCGCACACAAAGAAGTCTTAGTGTATCATTTGCATAACAAACAGCATGCCTGTAGCGGTGCGTGCAACAAAACACTGGTCTCAAAGACTGCGAGGACGCAAGCATGTGTTTTGTACTGAGTGTCACAGCCTATGACTGCAAGTCTCAGGGTACTGCAAGCAATTCAAAGCTAAAAGCGAGATTCCTGGTGCAATACTGACTGCTACAGAACGCGACCGCGAGGAAGGAGAGATGCTATTTCATCGTGACGTGTGAACATGAATTTCTTGCTCCTGGACAGTGACAGTGGTACAATCTGTTGTTGAGTTGGCATGGGCAATCAATGGGCCAATAGCTATAGACGCTAGCGACGAAGTTTTTTGGTTGTACTTAACAGTTGGAAAAGGTGGGCAGAAGCATCGGCCCGGGTGCTGGCGAGCGGCACAGAACGGTGAACACTCGGCAACGCCCGAGGAAGCTTTCACGCCCATTACTAACTTGCCTTCCTTTATCTCTTTTGATTATCAAGCCTTAACGTTGTTCTTCCTGTCATTCAGCTTCTACATAAAAGAACTGAGGCTACTATACCATCCGCTATCGTCCCCAATCGTTAAATAACCTCAATACGTATTCACATTCTGAGGAGTACTTCGAGAGCTTGTATACAGTTCTCAAATCGTAGAAATGGAGAGAATCAGCTATTCCCCTCTTAACGCGACCTTGTAGGAGCAATAATGTGCTAAGTTCATAGCCTAGCATAGATATGTACAGCTCTCGGAGTTGAGAGTTATAACGCAGTAGTGAAGTTAAACACTGGAAGACCCGGGCCGCGACAACAAAGCAGGGAGATACCGAGGACAGCGAACCCTCGGCAACACCCGAGATCCAAGTTTATGGGCTTTTGTTTATCAGCCTGAGCGTATCCCTCATGATGTTTCTACGTACAAGTTTCCTTCCTTGATTCCCGGCGACGCTCCGGCCCTTACACGTTCATTGGCCTCGATTTTCCATTTAGCAATGACCCACATTGTCCCGAGTAGTATTAAGCCTCGTCCATACATGATTCCAGTCATACCCAAATCTTGAAATAGAGAGCGAGATTTGATCGAAAAGCTATTCCGCGACCTCGTACGAGTAAAAATACATTAACTAATGGAGCTAAAGAGCGCGTAAAGCGCCAGGAACAAGCGAGGGTCGAAGAACGTCAGTATAATGCGGGCGAGAAATGGCGATTGACGAAACTTCGAAACTTCTTTTGTTTTGTCCTTTTCTTTGCTTGGAAAGACGATTAGCCGCTAACCGCTAACCGCTAAGCCCTTACGCTGATGCGGACGACCGGTCTTCAACGTACTCACGGGACCGAAGGATTTGAATTTCAGCTTCTATGTACTGTATCCGCTACGAAAGTATAAAGTGAGTAATGTACGTACTTTCAAGCGTAATTACGCCACTTTACACACCAGCACACTGGTATCTTCGTTCAGTCAAATGCTAAGTGCAAGTCAAATGAATCCTACAGGATGACACCACCTTATGAATTGAAGAACAAAGATGTCGACGTCAAGAAGAGAAGCCAAAAAAGTCCAACACAATGAGTGACATGGACGTCGCCGACCCCGATAGTATAGTATTGGAAATAACACACCAACGTAAGTGATAAAAATGACAATAGACTAGGAAATGACAGCGTTTGACAATGACAAGCAGAGGGCGGTAGCTATGGTATCATATGTACGGAGCGGCGGCACACAAAAGTCATTTTGGGATGGGTATGATAGTCCAATAAATATACTGAACGTTCGTAAGTAGGGTGGGGGTTCGTGGGGAGGAGTAAACGTAATGCGCAAAAAAATCGTACAACCGATAACAACCGACCCAGACCAATCACGGAAAAACTAGATAGCAACAATCCATCCTAGCATGGCAGCCACTATACCAGCACCGCCGATTTGAAGTGTCGAGGCGGCGTTGGAAGTCGTGGAAGCCGAGGAAGAGGAAGAAGCGCTGGACCCAGAAACGGAAGCTGGCCTGGTGGCCGTTGCGGACCCCGTGGAAGCAGATCTGAACAAAAAAATTGACAGTTAGTAAATAGGGTTCCGAATAAGGCAAAGTTAAACAATAGGCTCCGATTTTGAAAAGATACTGGAGGGCGAGGCGAGATAGTGAAGGAAAAAGAAAGCTCACCCAGTCCCGGTAATAGATCCAGATAGGCTGACAGAGGCTGAAGCAGAGCCCGTTATACCCGTCGTGCCCGTGGCCGTTGGGGCAGCGCCTGTCGAAGCAGTCCCAGAAGCGGCATTGGCAATCGAGAAGTCGCTGGTCTCCGTGTAAACTTGGCTAATGTTGGCAATGTTCACAAACTGAATTGCGAAGCCGCTCCTGCAAAGGGAAATGAGCTCCACACGGACAACACGAGCAATCGTACTTACCCAGGGACGACCTCAGGGAGCTGCACTGTAAGCGTTCCCGCACTGGCGTTGACGTTGTTCGCGATAGCGAACTGGCTGTTAAAAACTGTGTTCGACAGCTCGATGTGGAACGAGGATGGGTCGCTCGCGGTCGTCGACCATGTAATGGTGATGTTCCCGCCCGACGTGACTGTCGTAGAAGGACTGTTGACAGTGAGGGAAAGAGCCGACAAGGGCAGGAGAGCGAGAGCAAAGATGGAGGACAACATCGCGAATGGGCACCAACAACGAAAGCAACAACAAGGAAGGAGTGCAAAGGGTGGGAAGCGGGGAAAGCTATCTGTGCGAAGCTATTTGAATACGAAGCCACGTGGTGCAACCATGCTTCGCTTTTCCTTTTTCAGGCTCCACGGTGTCTTGCTGTCAATCCAGAAGAATCCGGGAGAATCCTAGGGAAAACGGGAGATTGGGTGGTTACCGGGTCGAGAGTCGTTGGGCCTCTTTGCAGGCGCTGTCTGTCTGCAAAAAATGGGAATCCTGGACAAGTGCCAAGCGGTGGGAAGCGAGACCTGGCAGCATCATGATTTCGTTGATGGGAGTTGGAAACAAGGAGGCGGGAAGGAAGGCCAAGCGGTGGCTGTACGGTATGTTCCGCAGAATGAACTGGACCCACCACGTCATGAATGAACGTAACCTTAATTCATTATTCCGGCGTTCATTTCTTTCCGTTTCGTTTGAGCGTCGGCTCAGTACTAGTCTTTTTACAGAATAAAATTCCAACGCTATGCATTTTTGTTCTTGTTCAACACCAAATCTGATCCTAACAATGATATATCAGATGAAGTTTCTCCAACTTTCGAGCGACCCCGCCTTCCCACAGCCATGCAATCATCTCGTGAAAAACATGATACGATGGAACGTGTTTCATTGGTCTCCATGCCGTGCGACGTAAAGTCACAACCCTACCGACGCCGCAAGCATTTCTGGTTCCCGAATCCCCACGAGCAAGTCCCGGCCGCCATACACCCTACATGGCCAGACTCCCATGCGGAATTCGTAAGGCTGCAAGTACATGAGAAGGTCAATTTTCCCCGTCGTTGGTCTACTTATGTCCCACTTCTTGCGAGGAAGACATCAATACCGAGCGGGCGCCGCCACTGGATGATATGTATTTCAACGTGCAGGGACACACGCGTCGAGGATCAAGCTGTCTCGGCGGGCTTTACGAAACCCGAGCTCATTTCTTACCGTTGCCTCACCCAGTCTATAGCAGCATGGCGCAGTGGTAGCGCGCGGGGCCCATATGCAGTGTTAAGTTGCGCAACCCCGAGGTCACTTGATCGAAACAAGTTGCTGCTACTGTGAAATTGTTCTAATCGTTTTGTCTCGCAGAATTCAAATTTCAAACCCGGTCCACATCGAACACTCGAACTCCAGAGTCCAAGGACCAAGTCTTCGACACCTATTTATTGTCCAATGTTAACGGCTAGCCTCTCTATCCCGCCGAACGTCAAGACTTTGTTACACATCATACACGTCCCGCTGAAGCGCTATGTATCAACATGGGGTCTGGTGTCAGGGAGTTTCCGCATGCCTGAAGCGTCGGCATATCAATAAGGGCCGTCGACATCTTTCTTTCTGTTCCGTGTATAGTTCGAACGCTTGCACTACCCCCCAGCCCAACAAGAAGAGATGATCAGGTGAGCAGTACACCTGTTTTGTTTGAAAGTGCTCGATATATGATTGACCCTGCCTACCAGTGTGCCCAGAAGCGTCGAGGCGGAGAGTTGGCGCACGCTCCCGTCAATGTTTTTCTTTTCCCTTGAGCGTTGAGGCTGATATTCGACGAGCCAGAGTAAATAAACCGTGGATCCATTCCGGCCGTTTTGCGTACAAATAATTTGCGCTTAACATCGTCGGGTGCATGCCCGAACGAGATGACTCCTCGTTCGATCCCGGATGTGGCCAATTCCCCAATATTTATGCACATCTATATCCTTTTTATAATTAACGTCCATGGAGTCATGAAATGGTTCTACTGGTACTCTTTGTCGGACTGCACATATGGTTGTCGTTATGATTCAATTTACTAACACGAGCCAAGAGAGAATGTGAGTACTAATCGAAGTTAGAAATCGGGTTACACGAAGCGGTAGTATTATACAGTCACTTGCTCGCCGAGCTCAGCCCTGCATAAAGCAGTGCAATGTCTATTTAAATCGTCATCCTGGAAGCGTGGAAAGTGGCTGTGCAACACCTCGCGACGCGTTTATTTGGATGTGTTGTTTTCCCACCAATTTCCCACCGAGCTTCCTTCCTGCCCCTGTGCCCTGCCGACCCTCCCTTTCGTCTCCTTTCTCCTCTTCTCGATGCCATTTAACGATCCTCTTTGGACAGCGACTTTCTGGGGGAAGAAATAACTTGGCCAGCAGTATGATGCTGGGTCCTTCAAGATAACGAATCCTTGAGAACTGCCAGTTGAAGCCTGATTGCAGCCAGGGCAGAATGGTGACCCTCGACTCGGCAAGGTCCGATCTATGTTAGTCGCCTCACAACGAGTCACGGACACGGGCGTTGACTATCTTGTGTCCTATCAGTATCACTGATCTAGTCTCCGAATAACTAGGGTAAAGTCATTCGGCCTAGCACTACTGGCTCGTGCTTATTATTGTCTTCTCGATTTCTAGCTGTGTACCTTTGATTCCTCTTGAGTGATTTGTGAAGGGCATCTTCACGTTACTCTCAGTGCTTGCACTCTTAATTGAATTCGAGGGTCGACTTGATGGTCCATCAGACTGCCCTCCAGGCTCCGCTACTAAGCACCTTGTGTCCGCAAATACGACATTTCCGAGTCCCTCGGGACGATAGACTTAGGACTGCTGCATCTAACCATAGACGAGATGCGTATAAGATGATAATAGCAGATGATGGGGCCCTTTCTTCTATACGGGTAGCTTCACTCATGCTTTCTCCGTCCTGATGTCACACGAGGCTGTAAGACAGCCTCATTTTGTAGGTGCGCAAACCCCACTTTCCGATGTGAAGTATGGTTCTACCTCATCGTTACAATCTGACGTGGATCACACAGATATTCGGGGCTCATTGCTCAGTCTAGACTCGTCATCTGCGTCGTTGACGTGGTGACGTTAGTCTCGTGAGTACCTGCGTCTGTCCTCTATCTTGTGCGCTAATCTCATTCAGCTTGGCAGAAGACCTCATATGAATCTCGACCCATCCATATTAAAGGTTACAGCACTGAAAGACCCCGAAGTATACAAAAAACATGTTCTTGATAATCTGGTCATGTAATCATGCAGGTCGCTCTTTCACAGCTTCTTACCCTTGTTCTATTCATTCGCAAGCAACGAACGAACGATGGCGCCGGTTCTATCCGGGAGTATCGCACGTGGTTGTCGGCATATAGCTGTCCATAGACGCCTGATTGGACACAGGATCCCATACTTACCAACACCACCAACTCTGCCTGCTCTACATTTTCTATCAAATGGCACCACCACGAATGGCGCGCGGCCAAAGAGGGGGGTCCCCATATCCTACTGGGGAAGGCGCTGCTCAGCAGCGGGGAGGCCCTCGAGGGCGAGGTCGTGGCCGGGCAGGTCGTGGCCGGGCGGGGCCCGGGCGTGGAGGAGGCGTCGTTAGGCAGCAACCCAGTCCCAGCGTCTCCGTTTCCTGTAAGTCTTGCAATGTTTATAATAGAAATCCATCAATGTCACTCACCACTTTATCGCTGATTCTTTAAGCCGCAGTACAGGCCGTCGGTGTCCCCCGCCCTGGATTCGGGAGTGCGGGCAGGCAAACGACCGTTCTCGTGAATGCATGCGAAATGAATATCCCCGACATTACAGTATACCATTACGACGGTAGGATTTCTCCCTCTCTGCATCGCGATGGCTTACATGATTACAGTTGGTTGGTATCTTCAAGATCTATTGTCAAATGCGTAGGATGACCCTTGATTTCTCTAGCTATGGAAAAGTCACTCCGAGCAGCATTCAATCTGCAGCTGATCGAAGCGCTCCAAAGCCAGTACCCGGATGTGTTTCTGAAGGCAGCTGTTTATGATGGCAAGAAGAATCTATATACGAGCTATAAACTGGATTTTGGTGGTGAGGTGTCTCGTCAGGTACGATTCTTGGTCTGCCGTATCGTTCTATTTATCTCAATGAACGCAGTTCGATGTGACTTGGACCGAAGGAAGTCGAACATCGATTTATAAGATCAAGATTACGGAAGCGAGGAAGATTGACATGGAGTAAGGTTCAACCATCTTCATGGTATGAGATAAAAAGCTGATTTTGCGCAGGGTGCTTCGCAGGTACACGGAAGGTCAGCAATCGTGGGACGAAAACGTTTCCACCGGTCTCACAGTACGTGCCATCGTTTATAGACTACTTGGATTGACCTGAGAACGCTTCAGGCTTTGAACATCGTGATCCGCATGGAACCATCTCTTAACCATCCGTTCCGAGTGCGGTCCTTCTATAGCGACAAGATCAAAGCACCTCTCGCCAATACAGGGCTGGAAGCCTGGCAAGGCTACTTCCAGTCTGTTCGACCCGCTTTGAACCGTCTACTCGTCAACATCGACATTTCTACTGGTGTGATGTTCAAACCCGGTTCATTGATCGAGACCTGTCTCGAGTTCTTCACCGGGAACCGCAGAGAAAATGCGGACAGGTATCTACGAGCGACCGGGCCGCAGGCGATACCTCCTGTGCATCGTCGCCGTCTCCAAACATTCCTTTTTGGCGTCAAGGTCGAAGCTCAGACGGCGGCTGGTGGAACGAAGCTTGTCACCATTCACAAACTGACGGAACGAGACGCTGCCTCCACGGTATTCACTCCGACCGGTAGTGCACAAACAAACGTAGCGCAGTACTACGCGCGGACGAACCAGAGGTTACGGCATCCCAACATTATCTGCATGCAGGTAGGTTCGATGCTCTCACAATCAGAAAAGCGTTGATCCTCCCCTAGACCCCGAAGGGCGCTGTGATACCTCTCGAACGATGTTACATCGTTCCCGGTCAACTCTCTCAGGCTGATCTCAACCCGGATGCTACACGGGACATGGTGAAGTTCGCGACGAAAAGGCCCGCTCAACGACTGAGTGCGATTCAGACTGGCATTCAGGTCCGAGTTTTGTTCTGCTAGACACCGTTTGCTCCATTTGCTCATTCCCTCTCTCTTAGGTTTTGGCTTATGGCCAATCCCGCTATGTCCGAGATTTCGGACTAGACATCAAGACGGGTTCTCTGCCCATGGAGATTCCTGCACGAATGATCAACGCCCCAGAGCTGAAATACGGACCGGGATCCAAGCAACCAATTGTTGTGAGTATTTGATTTCTTAGGGATACACAAATTTTGTTGATTGCTATTTATTCAGCGACCGAGGGATGGAGCTTGGAACCTGTGAGTATCGATCCAGTGGTCGGAGCGGTTGGTTCTGATGTTGTTTAGTGTTGATAAGAAGTTTTCCAAGCCCATGCCTCTCGGGTCTTGGATTGTGGTGATATTCGTGCCACAGCACTACTTCCGTCCAGACGACGCAAACAGAATGATAGCCGCTCTGGTTCAAGGCTGCCAAGCTGTCGGTAAGCTATTCCCCCTATCTTCGGAACCCTCAAATCCTCACTGGTCCTTCTAGGCATGCAGGTTTCAGAGAGCCAGCCACCTTTTGTCTACAAAAATGCTCAGGACAATATCGATAAGGTTTGCCAATGGTTACTGGGCCTTCAACGACACAACACTGAATTATAATTGGTTTTCGTAGTCTATTGTGGATGCACTAACGCAAACTACGACTGGGCGTAAAACGAGACCAACGTTCATTGTGTGTATTCTCCCTGATAAGAGCAACGCGGATCTGTATACAGCAGTCAAACAGTAAGTACATCGTAACTTCCAAGCATAGGCTCATTGTTAACGGGTAAACGTCTTAAGCTGCGGTGACATAAAAGTCTAATATTTGTTCACGGGTATTCTTTATCGCTGATTTCTTTTTCAGAGAGGTGTCGCCAATCAATGCCTACGAGTTGGCGAATGTAAACGTGCCAGACCGCAATATTGGGCAAATGTCGCAATGAAGTAACTTATACCTTACCCTCAATAGTCGGATGATGTGACTGAGCGAACAATCTCTAGGATTAACGCGAAGCTGGGCGGTGTAAATGTTATCCCAGACCCGAAGTCGGCGCCTATAATTTCCGACCCCAGGCAGCCAACAATTGTCATGGGTAAGCCAGTTTCAGCACACTCTATAGTGAAGCTAACGCACGGTGGATGTAGGCGCAGACGTCATGCACCCGGCCCCGGGCAGTCAATCGCCCTCGTACG